CACCTCCCCACCAGACCAGGTTGCTCAAGGCCTCATCCAGCCTGGCTTTGAACACTGCCAGGGTGGGTCAGTCACCACATCCCTGGGCAACCTATGCCAGTGTCTCACCGCCCTTAGAGTAAAAACCATTTTTCTGATAGCTAACCTAGATTTCCCCTCCTTCAGTCTGAACCCCTTACCCCTTGTTCTATCACTGCAGTTCTCAACAAAGAGTCCCTCTTTGGCTCCCTTGTAGGCCCTTCAGATATCAAAAAGTTGCTCTGAGGTCTCCATGCAGTCTTGTCTTCTCCAGGCTGAACAGCCCCAACTCCCTCAGCCTGTCTTCATAGGGGAGATGCTCCAGTTCTCTTAGCAACTTTGTCCTCTGGACTTCCTCCAACAGTTCCATGTCCTTCTTATGTTGAAGACACCAGAACTGCACGCAGTATATCATATTTATGAACTGCTGCAGTGCACAGTGAGCTGTTGCTGTTTGCCATGCAGAAACACATCCTAGGTTGGAAGGATGTTTCTACACTTGAGGTGGTAGATGGCACTCCCAGCCCTGAGGAACTTTTGGTCTAAACAGCAGGCACACTCGGGTAGGAGAATGGTTATCCCAGATGAAGATTTAGAGGTTTTTGTTTCTTATCCTTGGTTTTATTGGTAATTAACTGCAAAGGTCAAGCTCCCAACCACTAGGTCTATGAGACATTCTTTGTAGTCATTAATTCCCTTCAAATGGTTGAATTTGTAGTATAAATGGGGGGGGTTTGCCTGCTAAGTGCCTACTGTTCCTCTAACAGTTTGAAAATGAGCACTTTTAAGTGCGGTTCACACTGAAAATCCGCCTAAAAAGTCTGATTGAGTTGATCAATATGTTTCTAATGTGTTTTGACTCTGCCTCTCTAGAGCAGCCCAGCTGTGCCAGAAACAACAAGCTTCAAGAGAAACCAGAAGGGCCTGGTTATCTGAGTGCTGTTAATTCTGTGTGCTGCTGTTGCTGGGAGCACCTTTTCATTGCTGTAAAGGAGCAGGATTCCCTATTCTGTAGCAAGCGGAAATGAGAAAATGAAAGGGCTTCTGGGGCAAGATGTGCTGTGGCTCAAAGGCTGCTCTGGTGGCTTTGCAGCCCGGGAAGGAGTGGTGCCCTGTGTTAGCAGAGCCTGGTAGGATGGAGGTGCTTCCTCCCTGCCCTTCCTGCACTTCTTGGACTGCACCAGCCATGCCTGAGGGTGCTCAGTGAGAGGAAGGCTGTTCACCATTTACACTTATGCATGGACTAACTATCATCACTGTTTCTCTTCAGGGCTTCAAAGATCCTGTGTACAGGGCCCGAAGGAAGGAGTTTGCAGATATTGCCTACAACTACAGACAGTGAGTACTCAGAGCATGGGCAGAAAGCAAACCCACATCTCTTGCCCTCTCCTAGGGTGCTCATCTTGCTGGCAATCCCTGTCTTCCCACAAGCATCCTCCTGCTGGTGGCTTTTCTCTGCCTCCTGTTCTTGCATTTATCCCTAAACCACAGCAAAACAAAAGTTTGTTGTTCCAGGCACATGTTCAGAAGAGAATATTGCCTCCCTTCTTTCCCCACAAAGCCCCCTTTTCCCTGGCTTTGTTGTCTAATTGAGCAGCAGACTGTTTCTACTACAAAGACCTGAGCATTGAATAAAGATGCTTCTGGTATTCTCCCCATCAGACCAGGGCTGGGGAGGAGTGTTTAGTGTTTACATTAAAGCAGGAGCTGCATACCCTATTAAAATAATGAATAACTTACGGTTCTGATGCTAATCCAGTGTCTGTTGCTCTACTCCTATCATGTCTGATCCAGCTGCAATCAGAAATTTGGGCTCTCATTTCCCAAGAGAAATAAATGGATATGATAAATTCAGTTAGAACAGGCTTGCTTGATTGCTTTCAGTGATCAGATCTGTACCAGAAAAAAATCAGTTCCCAGAGCCAGTCACACATATAGATCAGTACTACAGGGCCTGATTCTTGCTTGGATTTGTAAAAATTGTGTTTGCAAAGAAAAAAGTAACATACGTTGTACATTTAGGGCTCTACTTTTTCACAGGATGAAAATATAGTCCCTGAGCCAAAGAGCTAATAATCTAATAACAAAATGAGAGACAAAGTTGGACTGATTGATGGAAAGTGCAAAATGTCAGGTGAAAAAAGCCAGGAGCCCAGTTTATAGCCAGAAAATTTGGGTAAGACTTTGTGCCCAGAAGTGAATGGATCTAGTGTCCATTGACAGATAAGCCACAGAAGATTTACATTTCCCGCATAATGGATAGCAAATTCTAGGATCTAGTTCACAGGCTTTCACCAAATCCTACACAGAAATGAAACAGTAAACATGTTAACAACCTCCTTCCCCCCAAATTCAAGCTGAAACCATTATATTCCAAGATGTAACTAATTAATATTTAGTCTGTTATCCAGATCCTCAGACGTAATGGAAACAGAGCCAAATACAGACCTAGACTTATATCCCAACCTTCTCTATGAGGTTCTTGGACTTTCCAATTATGCCTTTCAGTAGCAAAGCAGTACACAGGGTGTGAAAGCTTCTGGGGGTCATGGGAAGAAGGCATGTGGGTTTTGTGACTTTGGATACTAATTCATGAGGGTGAGGTAGATCTGTCTTTGCTCTGGGTGCTACACCTGGACACACCTTTCAGGATCTAAATTGGGAAGGAGTTGTCAGAGGTTTTCTCCAGCACATGGGGACAGAGATAGAGAGAAGTGAGCAGGAGGAGAGGCACAACCAAAGATATCAGGCTTCATAGGAAGTACCTGGAAAGGCAAATGTGCTTAGGTCATGAAGGTGCAAAGGTGCAAAGGCTGCAAAGGTGAGATGAGTTGGTGATTGCCTGTCTTGTACTCTTCATCATCATTTCAATCACTTTCTATATCCCTTCTTTTGCACCTATTTTGTCCTCTTTATGCTGTTTGCCTCTACTTTGCTCTTTTGCCTCCTGTCCCGATAGATTTACTCATTTTTTTGTTGGATGCTTGATTTCCCTGACTTTTCTTTGCTTGCCTTTCCCATCTGCCTTCCTTTGCTTTTGGCCCCATTGATCCCTGATTTTTTTTTCACTGAAATTTGAAAGGTTTTTAAGCCATAGATTCCCCCTGCAGCCCTGGAAGGTGGTTGAGGATTACTTAGGAGTGCTTTAGGAATAACAATCTCCTGGCAATCCTCATAACACAACATGATGTTTAAGGCTCCACAGATCAAGGAGGGCTGATACAGAGAAACAGAAAATGATGGTTCTCCAGAGGAGGTGCCCTGAGGCTCAAGACAAAAATGAGGGAATGGGAGATGGTGGGGTGTCATCAAGAGTTTAACAATGGGGCTCTGGGGCTTGGAAAACTCCAGCATTATTCCAGCAGTGATGTTAACCCTATTAGGTCACTTAAAACCCTTTGATTTTTCAAAGCTGCTGGATTCACCTATGGCCCTATCATTATTGCTAAGGAATTGGCTATTCACCAGAGGCCAAACTGCATTGCTTGTCATGGTATAATTCCTGTGAGCTTCAACATGAGCTAAGCACATGGAGGCCTGAGGGTGGGATTTGACTCGAATTTACTCCTTACAATTATAAAAAGTTCAACTGGCTGGAGTCTGCATCTGTTACAGCATAAAGCACAGATCGGATTTTCTCTGCTGCTCCAACAGAGTTTTATGGAGCTGATGGTTTCTCTGTTGTTACAACAACAATTGATATAATGCACATTAGAGCAAGAAACACAACAGCTACTTGATATCTAAAAATGCATGTCAATTGAAGCCAACAACCAGCAAGTATTTTAAAAATAACATCTTGATAAGCCAAATAACCAGTAGTTTATTTTTAACACAAGAATGCAAGGAGCTGTCTAAAGGCCAATATTTCAGACAAGGTCAGGAAAGTCCTTCCCAGCTAGTGGCTAGGGGCAAGTGAGGCTCCTTTTGCAAATGCATATCAGACCAAAGACATCTCCCCTTCTGCACCAGCAGCTAGCCCATGTTAAGCTGGTGGCATAGGACATATTCTCTATCACCGTTATGGAGGAGATCTGTTTTCTTTCTAGTGGCCAACCTATTCCTCGTGTCACCTATACGGAAGAAGAAAAGAAAACATGGGGCACTGTCTTCAGGGAGCTGAAGAGCCTCTATCCAACTCATGCTTGCTATGAACATAACCACGTGTTCCCACTACTGGAGAAGTACTGCGGCTACAGGGAGGACAACATTCCCCAGCTTGAAGACATTTCAAAATTCTTGCAGTGTAAGTTTGAAGCACCTAAAATGACCAAATGAAATAAGAGGCCCCAGCCATCAGTGTGGGTGGTTCCTGCTTTATCACAGGCTCCCTATGGTGCTTGGGCTGTGTCCCATGTCCCTCTCTAATGCTTCCAGGGATACAATGGCACAGATGCTCAGATACTGTGCTGGTGTTATACATGGGTAGGAATCCTCTGTTCTTTCACAATTAAACTCTGTTTAACATAAGGAGAACAAAGAAAACAATTAACGAACTTTTTTTCCACTGTGAGGAGTCTGGATAAGCATAAATTAAACATATTAGCTGTTTTTAAGATGCCTTATTTTTTGTCCCTTCAGCCTGCACTGGATTTCGCCTGCGTCCTGTTGCAGGCTTGCTCTCCTCTCGGGATTTCTTGGCTGGGCTGGCTTTCCGAGTATTCCACTCCACGCAGTACATTCGCCATGCCTCCAAACCCATGTACACACCAGAGCCGTAAGTACTTTGGCACAGAAAAGGTGTGTGAAGTTGCACCAGACTAACAACAGGGCCAGTGCAGTGGATAATAAGCATGTGGGACTCTGGAGCACTCCTGGGAACAGAGCTAACAGAAAACAGCCAAATGACTGCTCTCTTCTGAAAATATTTTTGGAAGATTTCTAGTCTTTTTAACAATCTGCATCCTCTTCTGCAAGTTCTCCTGGGGCAGATGAGAGAGTTTTGCTACTGAAGGCATGCTTGTGTGGTGGCTGGGATGTGAAAGCAGTGTACAAAGACATTTAGCTTAGCTATTAGCACCCAAATAGTGGTGTGAAATCTAGTGCAGGAATGACCCAACAAGTTGCAAGCAAGCTTCTGGCAACAAGATAGGGGAAGCACAGACCACTGAACCCATCCCTATTTCAGTTTGATGCTGGAGTCTCTCTCTCTGTTCCTATCCACTGTCCTTTGCCACTTGCCATCTTCAAAACAGTTTTCTTATTCTGCTTCATATTGTTAAAATTCTTCCTCCCCTCCCTTATTGTTTCTTTGCCTCCTACTTCTTTCTGCAATCTCTTCTCCCTTCTTTTTTTCTATTCTTCATTCTTTTGATTTTCCTTTTGCTTACCCCATTCTCATCCTATGCAAAGCCAAGCTGAATGTCTTCCATAGACCTGGCCTTCTTGGGAGCAAGGTCTCCCCCCTTTCCATCTCACCAAATCACTTCTCTGCCTTTGAAAACTCTAACAGTCCCTAGGTGAGTTCTTCCCCAAACCTGTCTGTCCAGCTGTGAAGTTCAACTAGTGATGAAATAGTCCTACCTGAGGAAGGGAGAACTTTCACCTCTCAGTGGGAGGCTGTAGGCCTGAACAGGAACTGGAGATGAGCTCTTGAGGTACATGTTGACATTGTGGTGAATCATATGAGTAGCCTGAGCTTCATATAAAGAGGTTTCTTGTCCTTGAGACTGAAAAGTCCATGTTTTCTTTGGTGGGATATTATTTTTCTGGGCTTTCTTGAGCTGGGTGGGCAGTTGAATGGATAGTTTTCTTCCATCAGGAAAAAGAAATTGTCATCCTTCCCCTAGGGACATGTGATGGCAAAAGCACTGAAAACCTAGAGGTTTGTAAGCATTTCCATCATGAGAACAATTTGAGAACAAAATGTTTTCCTGTGAGCATTATTTGCTGGTAGGAGCAAATGCACTGTGGTCTTGACTATGTGCTGACTATAGGGCATTCATCCAGCATTGCTGGACTTTTCCTGAATCACAGTTACTCAGATGTCATGTTTTCCTGCAGTGATATTTGTCATGAGCTGCTAGGACATGTGCCTCTTTTCGCTGATCCCAGTTTTGCTCAGTTTTCCCAGGTAAGTTACTCAGTGGTTATACTTTTATTTATATATATACACTATACTATTTATCTAATTGAACACACCAAAGACTAAGTCATTCAGAGGATGATTCAAGACCTGTGAAGGTTTCTGTGGATTCACCTTTAGGCATACTGTTTAAGAGTATCTGAGATGATTTATTTATTACTTGAAATCTTGACACAAATCACTTAGGTGAACTCATAAACTCCAACTCCAAACATTGTCTTCTGTGAGTTATGTTTTTTTTTGTGAAACCATCATCTCAAAAACTTTCTGCAGATATTGATCCTTCTGAGCAACATTACATACCTCATGAGTCAGATGAATTATTACCCCACCATTCTGTTCAAATGTTAGGGAAAGTGGAGATTTTTGGGTGTTTGTTTTCTATTGAAGCCACATAGGAGACTGAGTAAAGTGAGGAACTGTAAGCATGGGAGAAGGCTGGAGAGAAGCTTTCTCTCTGGTAGTGTTAATGCCTCTGGAAAAGAAGCCAAACCTCGGTGAAGGAGTACACTTTCGGTTGCATCTTACCAGAAAACATGAAAACATGCAAAGAGAAAAAGTCATAAAGTCATAAAGAGATGGAAGGAAGGAAGGAAGGAAGGAAGGAAGGAAGGAAAAATGGACTCGATGTAACTTCTCAAAAGTCAAAAGCTGATTTGGTGTAGTTAGTAAGTTCTAACTTCAGAATTAGACTTTCAGGCTCTGCCCTGTCCCAGAACTGGGGTTTCCTTCAAGACAAGCCCTATTGTACCTTGGCTTACTGGGATTTGACATGGTGATGGCTGCTCCAATGTTTTTGATGTGTGTGTGGGAGGCCAGTGGGACTTTTTTACTGTGCAGTCCTCACCAGAGCAAATTGAGAAAGGAACCTGGCTCTATATTTAGTCTTCTATGTCTGTCTTCTGAATCCAACTATTGCATACCTTTCAGAAACGCCCCCATTAGCTCACAAGGTATAATAAGCTCTTTCAAATCATGTCCTGTCATTCAGAAAAAACAGCTCATTTAAGGATCCAGGAAAACTCCTTTAATCTGGGCCCATCATAAAAAGAGAAATATGTAAGGTGTGTGATTGATTTACCTCCCTTTGTCCCTATCATTCTCTCAGATGTGCATTGTAGACTTGATCAAAAGCCTGTCAGAGAAAGAGGAAAATTTTATTTGACCTCAATGGGCTTTGTACCAGGCACAAAGGATCATGCCTTGTAAATGACATTTGGACAAGCCCCTTTGTTCATTTTTTGGAGAGATTTCTGGTTTCAAATTGATCTTGCATGATAGGAACATGTCCTGTAAACATTAGTGTGTGGTAGTAAGCAATGGTAACATTTAAAATGTGAGCAATTACATAAGATGAGACAGGAAGAATGTTTGCAATAAACAGCTTGAAGAATAATGGTTTATTGTTACAGGAAATTGGACTGGCATCTCTGGGAGCTCCAGATGATTTCATCGAGAAACTTGCTACGGTAATTTAATAAATGAGGGCTCAATTTTCCAAAGTGCCCTGTGTTGTCTTAATTCTGCTGCCACTGAAGTCACTGATAGAACTCCCATAGAGTTGAATGGGAACAGAGTGAAGACCGTGATTGGAAAACCCCACCCTGAAACAGTTGCACTAAAGGAAAATAGCTTGGGCATCCCTTATTCAATGTGATGGTTGTGATTAAACACAGAAGCCCAGACAAGATTTCCTCCAGCACAAACATATTGGGAAAGAAAAGATTATGTGTTACTACATTCCCATGGGAAATTGCAGGAGGCAGCTTCAGTAGCTGTTCTACCTTCAAGCATCTATTCCACTCTGCCAGGCAGATAATCATAGAGTCATAGAATCAACTGGGTTGGAAAAGACCTCAAGGATCATCAAGTCCAACCCTACTGTGGTTACTAGACGGTGGCACTAAGTGCCACACCCAGTCTCATCTTGAAAACCTCCAAGGATGGTGAATCCACCATCTCCCTGGGCAGCCCAATGTCCTCTGCAGTCAATGTGGCTCACCTGAAGGTTACTCTGAGACTACTGAGACCCAGAGTTGCAAACTTCCAATAAAAACAAAGATATTCCTAAGAGATTAGTGTCCCCAGTGCAAACCCACCTGGGCAAAGCCTTCTACTTGCTTTGATGGTTCTGATAGATATGTAGTTCTTCTGAGCCAGGGCAAGTATCCCTTCAAAACAACAGACCAGGGAGTCCAACTAGGCCACACACAGTCTTACTTCACTACTGCACTCAACAGCCTGTTCACCCTCTTGCTGCTGCAGCTAGATGCCCTTTGTGTGTAACCGGACCCAGACCTTTCTAAAGAACTTCCACTGGGTTGGCCAGCCAAAACGGAGCTTTATTGCTATAATTTCATTGCCTGTGATCAGCTGACAAAGATAAGCAAGGTAAATCAGAACTGTGTCAGGGAACTGAGCTGCTTCTCAGGCACTCAGCATCTAGCGCTCTGCCCCTTCCAGGAGAGGAATTTCAGTCCCCAGGGACATTTATTGTATTTATACACTTGTTATTTGACAACATTTTAAATAGCAGTGCAAACTCCAAATATATTCAAATATATGGTGAACACCTCTTTTTGATCAAGGAATCATAAGTTTCTGTCTCATTTTCTTGCCAGGTTTATTGGTTTACAGTGGAGTTTGGACTATGCAAGGAAGGCGATTCCCTCAAGGCATATGGTGCAGGGCTGCTGTCTTCATTTGGGGAGCTGCAGGTGTGTTCTAGAAAGCATGTCAAAGATGGTTATAATTGCTCAAATTTCTCTTCTGAATTTGTTTGAATCCTTATTTTCATTCATGCTTTTTAGTATGGAAGTAGCATGAATGAAATGTCATGCCTCATTGAGAGCTCTGGTAAATGTGTAGG